TGTACTTGGAACAGTTTTTGTTTTGTAATCAATATGTTTACCTGTAACAATTCATATTTTATAAACCTAAGTTCAAAAATGGATAAATCAACAATCAGTAATAGTGACCGATCCCCGCCACTATGTACATTGACGCTTTACATGCAAAGCTAGCTACGCTTTCTCGAAGTGTCCAAGAACGCAATAGTTTTGAGGCAAAAACTGATAGCGGGAAGAACAGTTCAGAAGGAGAAAGTAAAAGTCTATGCATACCAATCCTCCAAAGAGCTCAGTGTCTCTATGTTCTTGTAGGACAAATCAATTGTGTAAATAACGGAGGAATGCCTACGAGCAAAAATTTTGCAACTTGATACTCATTAACAAAATGCCCTGTACCGCAGTCGCTTGCATACTCGAATTAACTCAGTACGTAGAAATAATATTTTACATATTTATTATACACGCAGACTAGGCCATGCATGCATTTGTATGCGTAAATAGGAACTTCACAAGAGCTTTGCAAAAATGTCTTGAAGCAATCCTCACCATGGAATTCAACTCAGCTAATCATTACACAGTGTCTATTTCAGCATGATTCTACAATTTTTCAACTCTTCGCTATAATGGGAATTGAGAGAAAAGTGATCGTACCAGGAGTCTACCCAGAGTACGCTGCGGCCGCATTCATCGAGTTATGGCGTAATGAATCCGACAGTCAGCCATACTTCAAAGTAGGACGTTAGAGTCTTTGATTAATGGCTATCTGCGCATTTGCCATTTTTTAAGCTTCTCTATCGTGCGAACAAAACTTCTCCAATCTATCCGATTACAAAAGAAATCAGTGAATGTGATGGTAAAGAATATTGTCCCTTGCAAGTATTCAGAGATTTTGCGGAAAAAGTCAAGATTTACAAACCAGTACCAGAGGTGAGCATTTAAATATTCACATAAGAGCTTTCCTGTGGCGTTACACAGGCTGCAGCTTTGACAAGCTGTGAAATAGCCTCCCTTGACATACCCCTATCAAACTTGAACTTATTTTGTAAGACAGTCTTACTTAGTGTGTTAGTAATAAGTCGGTCATTTTCAGCTGTCTCTAGTCCTCGTCCTCTTGCGATGTTAGTGCATGTCGCTTGAAGAAAAATTAGTTTCGCATGCGGCACAAAATGGCGCACTTTGCTCCCCTACCTCGCATTAAACGTCTTTGTGAAAATTACATTGCACGTCTTTATAAAAATCTTTGAAAGAAAAGTCCGAAAAATTTGCTGATTTACGCTGCTACAAAAATCATACTTCTCACCAACAATCTTCAAGATTTACGCATTTAAAGTGAGAATATAATAAAACCTTCAACACCGACTGCTCCGATTTGTTGCAGATTTTGAATTTTTGCGACAAACCACGTCGATATCTGAGTAACTTTCTTCTATCGCTTGTATCTATGCAAAGTATGCCAACTAGAAGGTCGTTAAAATATTATTAAAAGCATTACTTACTCTTTGAAGAAAAAATCAAACCTTTCAAAAAGTGAAGAAGTGACAAAAACTGCGCAGCAGAATTACGTGCCAAGCAGATATATGAAGCGTTTTTCAAAAACTTTT